CAGTGAAGAGAAGGCGGGTGGAAGAAGAGGTTGGCAGCCCAGCCCCGGACTTTAATGCTTTCCTGCAGGCCTTCCCTGTGGGAATCACTGGCCAACCACCCAACAAGACCCAGAGAGAAAAAGCTGGGTTCCCCGCCGACAGAGTCTTTTTATGACAAGTGGAGGGCTCTGCAGTACAGCCTTCGGGAGCAACATCTTTTGTGTACGTGTATATACTTCCTTATGATCCAATGATTAGATTTGCTCCAACAGAAACACTTAGAACTAGTGTGTGAACCTGAATTTTAATTCAAATGTGCTCTCTTTGACAGCAAAATTCTCAAGACGTACCCCAACTGCAGCGATGGTGGCTAAAGTCATAGATGCAGAGGGCTGGACGGCCAATCATCCTCGTCCAGAGGACATCATGGCGAAGTGGAGGCCGCTCAGCAGAGCACAGGCGGAGAGTGACCCGGGCATCATCAAGAGGGTGACCAGGCAGAAATGGTCGGGTCTGGCTGTGAAGGCCTTTGGGGAACAGAAAGGTATGTACAACTGTCTTATGAGCACAGTAAAATCCATAAATAAAATGAATATAATAACATCATGAACAGCACATTAATGACTCCCTCTTTTTGACCACAGGCGTTGTTGCAACCAAGGCCTTCGGGAAGGGCTCCATCCTGTGTGATTTCCACGGAAAGGTGATCACAGGTGCTGAGGGCAGGGAGATGGCAGAGACGCAGGACCAGCTGGGAAACCTGTTTTTCTTCAAACATGGCCCTGACGAAATCTGCATCGATGCGGAGACTTTCCCCTGTGAGTGCCACCCGTCTCTGGAAACCATCGGGAGATGGATTACACATTCAAAGAAGAAGCACAACGTGCAGCCATGCCACTGCATAGTGAAGCTTCAGGGGGGAGACAGGCACGTCCTGCTCTTTCAGGCCACCACGGACATTAAGAAAGATGATAAGATCTGCTTCGACCACGGCATCAAGAAGAGGACTTTTCGTGGGGAGGAAGAGGAGCTGGAGTGGCTGGACATTTGATTCTTTACAATTTGTGTCACATTTTATGACACAAGACTATGAACTATCAATGATTTGTTTGTCAACTGTGAGCTCGCGAATGAACTATAGATGATTGGACAAAATTGGGAGCTTGCGTATGGACTTGATGTTCATGTAAAAGGAGCCTCAGTAGCGTCTAAACATTGTAGTTTCATGTAAATGGAGCCTCAGTGTGACCAATGAAATAATTGACCTTGATCTACGTCCTGGAGCTGGAGTGGTTGGATCTCTGACTCTATTTTTTCAGACTGTGATTTTGCCGGACGTCTGCTTGCCTCTCACAGACCATGTGTGACAAATTTAAATGGAGCCTCATTGTGAACTGACAACCCAGACAGACTGTATTGTAAGTAGAGTAAAGTACTTATTGTAAGTGTGTTGTAAATACTTTGTATTGTACATTAATTTATGCTCACTAAAGTTATAAATCAGTCTATAAATGAAAGTACTTTCCCTACAGCTCTGAAAACAGCCATAGTAAAGCCTATACACAAGTCAGGAGATAAGCTCCAGGGGCCTCATTTATAAACGTTGCGTACACACAAAAGAAGGCGTACGCCGCTCTCTACGCAATAGTTGGTATTTATAAAAAGCAAACTTGACGGTAAAATGTGCGGTCCTTCACGCCAGCTCTGACCCAGGCGTACGCACAAAAACGGGTGAAATGAGAAATGGCGACACCGTCGGCAGGTGGAAAAAACACGTGAAAGTGTGTGAAACTGTAGACGGTTGTGTAAAATAAATGGCAATACTGCCTCTCATAAATAACATGAAGACTTCACAAAGCAAGTCTTACAATTAACAGCCTACACGAACACCCGTTTGATCGATCTGCAACAGAAATGCAAATTAACACATATTTCCAAAAAAGAAAGAAATATGTTCTTCAATAATATTGGCTTATACAATTCATTCTCATAAATAAGATGGTAAACAGAACGAAATAATGTACAAAACTGATATTCTCGCCATTACTAATGCCAAAAAAGCACTTGAGTGGCAAAAGGTTGCAGACGCCGTAAATGCTGAACCTCACAACCTCGGACTGTGGCCGAAATAAAAAAGAAATGGTCGGATTTCAAAGTCGAGGCAAAAAAGCGTCTAGTCATTAATTCAATTAGAGAGGGCCAAGGAGTTGGGCGAAATCAAGACTCCAAACTGAAATAAACTGCACAATGAGGGAATTCTTCAATAAATAATATATTTTTCCACAGCTTTTGTTGTGAAGAAGATGCTTCGAATCCTTCCATTTAATCGCCACATCTTCTAAGAGCGCAAGATCAGCCATTGTGCGTCATTATACACATTGTGATGGGGCATTTTATTTACAACCATTTAATTCTGCATCTGACAAGCTACGGATGTCGCTTATAATCTAAATGGGAAATAGTTCAGCGCAAATGTAATTTCTTGCAGCTTTCTGAATGGTTGAGACACGTCATACGTTATTTTATCAAAAATAAAACAAACTAAAGGCATATGCATGAATACCATGATTCCGGAGCTGATGAAGATATTTTTACGATGAAAACAACTTTCCCCAGTGGACAAATAATACACCTATTTATCGATCTATCTAGGCTATATATCTCTCTAATTATCTATCTATCTGACTGACGATCTAATTGCTATATCTGCTCCGTTAGACGGACATATTGGATACCCACACTGTGCCCTCCAAACAACATTTCTCTCCTCTTTTCCACCTCGCCAACGATAACTTCTACTTCACATTGAGTGAAGTTACGTTTTTATTATTTCCTCTCTGTGTTTAACATGATTTTGCAATTGATGAATATTAAAGGGGGGGTTGACTGCGATTTCACTTTTTTCATTTTAAATAGTGTGTAATGTTGCTGTTGGTGCATGAACAGTATCTGCAAAGTTGCAGCGCTGAAAGTTCAGTGTAAGCAGAGATATCGTCTTTTTAAAATCAGGAAGTATAAACGCCTACAAAAACGACTGGATTGGGACTACAGCTGGGTTATGGTACGTCACTAACCCACACATTTACATCAACCCTTCCTCCGGAATAAGCAGAAAAGAGCATGTGCATATTTCAGCAGTTCCAGCTCGTCGAGTGAGTTGTTCACGCAGCTGTCAGGTCTTCTGTGTTCAGGCTTCCCACGGACGCTGTACTTCGTCAACAATGGATACAATTTATGTTTGATTATGTTCCTGAAAATGACGATGGTAATCTAGCTCTCTGTGCTGCTCATTTACGGAAGACAGCTTCCAGAATCTTCACGAGTTCAACACCGGATTCAACAAGAAACTGTTACTAAAACATGAAGCAGTTTCAACTTTAAAACCAGAGGCAGCAGTTGTTGGGCCACAACCTGTAAGTAGGCTAAGACTTCATCATTTTAAATGTATTTGCATGTATAATTCCAGATGTGATGTTTTAGTTTTGTCAAATGCCAGCGCTGGCTTTATATCCACCTAGTTATGCTATTTTGTGTCTACGACAAACGCGTACAAACATTTTGGACCTGAATTTGTATATGTACTCATTTTATAAATGTATTTATCATGTATATATACTTTATCATCACTTTGTGATGTAAGAACAGGGTTGTTATGTGTGGGTGATGAAAGGAGACACAGGGTCGGCGAATACTGGGACTCTTGCACTTTTATTTACACAACTCTTCACAGCGCGAGGTCGCGCTCAAATAAAGTTAACTTAGAATGTCAAAGGCAAAAATAAATAATAGGTGATAATACTCTTCCCACTGAACACAGCTTTGCCGAACACAGTTGCAGTGAAAACTCTTCCCGCTGAATACAGCTTTCAAATGTCCCGTGTTCGGTAACAGGACTCCATAGGATACGTGCACGAGCGGCCAGTCTCTCTCTCAAACTGTTGTCCGCACGGCCCGCTTATATGCGCTCTCCTCACGCCAATCACTCAAATCACAGACAGGTGTTTGTCATTTGAACTTGACCCACTTATTCACCGCTCGGCTCCGTCCGTCCCAGCTCTCTCACAGTCAGAGCCGGCCCGAGCCTTTTGGGGGCCCCAAATTTGAATTTGATTTGGGGGCCCCTCCCACGACGCGGAGTCACCTGTGTTTGACGATTATTGACACAAATGTCACGCAATAATGATGCATTATAAATGAACACACTTCGGTTATGTATTAGGCTACAACAAAATTAATACTTAATAAAAAAATAGATGCCTACTTAAATAAAAAAAGTTTAACAGTCTTAAAAACTGTCTCAAAACATAAAATAAATTATTTGCTAAAATTATGACAAAACTGAGAAACATAAGAGCAAGGCTTCAACAAGCCTATTGTTGAAAACTAAAAATATTTGGCCTACTATTTCTCAACTGTCTCAATACAGTGTAACTGTCCTCAAAAGCTTTATTATTATTGTAAGAGACTTTGTTAGATATTACATGACATAATCCAACAAATTCTGTTACTTTAATACCGGTAATAATGTTCTGGCGCTCGTTGTATGCGTGTATGCAATGTATTTTTCCCCTCGGGGCTTGCCGTAGATGGGCCGTGCGCAGACTGCGCACTTGGTAGGCTACTGGAGTGTCGCGGGTTTTTGGAGGTCTGATGTGTGGTATAATAAAGTGGAGAAGAGTTCAAACTGCTATGTTTATTATTTATTCAAACTGCTACCCTTATACCTTGAAGGTTCAGTTCCCCTGCGGGCTATTTTCTCCAATACCGATACCGTGACTAGGCGCAGTTGCGCACAAATTGTCTATGCACACGTGAGGTGTCTAGAGGATTATGCGCATGACTTAAACGCAGGCAGACACAGCAGCAGTTGTAACTTGTAGGCAGGTATATTGATCATTAAATCAGAGTTTTGTTGTTTTGAATGATTCATTCAGTCATATTCATTCATTCATTGATTTATGTCACTTGTTTAAGTAATCTAAAAATAAAAAATAACCCCGAGCGGCCACTTAGTTCGCTTATGCCTCGGGCCGGCTCTGCTCACAGTCCCACTACAGGACCATCTGCATCTGGACCGGAGCGCAGGCACATTTCGCCCGTAAAGGTAATGGGCGTTAACCTTCCGGACAATGTGAGCGACAGTTTAGCCAATCACAACACACCGGCCCAAACTAACCAATCAGAGCCCACTGCCTGTTTCTGGTGTAGTGGTTTTATAGACTCAGGAAGTCAACCGCTCGTTCAGGGGACAGGGGAGAGAGCGGCTGACAATAAAGGTGAAGTTTATGAAAAATAAGACTTTTAAAAAAAGAAAAACCACAAATACATGTTATATTGCACCCCATAAACACAATCATGCAAAGAAAAAAAGCAGTCTGAACGTATTGTGTTACTCCCTGTCCTGATGAACGTTACTGTGAACTCGTTCATTTTGAGCACGCTCTCTCAGTTTAACTTCGGGGTGCCAGATTTCTATAGAGCCTTCCAGGCGAAAACCCGGCTAAAACTGACCGTAAACAGAGCTTAATATGTAGTGAAAAAACACCCAATCTGGCAACACAAGACACCAATCTCGCACCGCAGCAGCCGTCGACAAAGGCGTCGTATGATCATTTAAACGGATTTTATAACGAGGTTGGTGAAGATGGGAAAAATCTTCCATTTCTGTGCAAACTTTGAACTGAACTAGTTCATTTTAAAATGTGTGAACTGAACTTTGAACTAGTTCATGTAGAAAGTGAACTTCCCCAACACAGGTTGCCACTCCCACGTGACCTGCTGACTAGGCTGTTGTCAACTTTTTCATTGTTGTCATGACAGCGCACCTTCTCGTTCTGTGAACCTCTGGAGTTGTGAGTGTAGACTTTTTTTTAAACTGTTCCTGTGGTGTTGAGCAACTATAATTCCTGTTAAAGGTTGTCTAAGCCAGGGGTTCTCAAACATTTTGGTGCCAGGGACCCCTTTCAGGGGAAAAAAAATTCCAAGGACCCCCCTCATATTTATAACAGTTATTGAGCACAAAGTTAATGTGTGAGCGGCAAATGAAATATTTTTGCACAAAATGAATGGTCTCCACCCAGGGTACTATGCAGGAATTTCTAGCCTACTGAGGTAACAAAAGTGATCTTGCTAGGAATCACTTAGGATCCCTCACTTAGGAATTTTTGATGTTCTTGATCTACACATGTGCATTTTAAGGTGTTTTAAGGCCCCACAATTGGATAACTATAGATTTAGTAGAAGCATGTCAGTCAGTGGCATACATTTTTTTTTTTTTTTTTGTCAAGATGTCACGAAACACAATCACATATTCCAATCAGGAATGGCCTTAAAAGAGAAATGTTTCAATAATTAGGCCTATTCTGCACACAAATAAAGCCCATAAGCCTATAAATACAATGATAATGGCATTATGTTTAATAGGTGCGTGCGTTGTTAATTTGAGCTACTGTAATTAGCTAAAAAAAAACATACAGTATATGTTAAATATATGAATCCATAATGTTAATCTCATGGGCACAGTATGTTTCTATTGACCTGCTTTTTCCTTTGTTAAAGTTGAGCTTGATTAATACTTTGCAAACTGATTGTTTCAGTCGTTTTTTTAAAACTTTTTTCTAAAAAAGCTGTTTAGTTTATGTTAATTAAGGCCTACATCTTATCTCGCACTTTATGACCGTTGACTGAAACGCCGTGCGGGGAACTTTGAGTTCACTCCGACTCAAACATTTTGACATTGACGAGCTATCGTTGTTAGTCTGCTGAAGCACCTCAGACGAGAAGGTCAGTAGTATCATCGCGATGTGCATCCTTGCAACCTCAGTTGTGGGTACGGCCCTGTCACTATGCACTTTTATTTTGATAATGATCAGACTTCTAATGTCAAATCTACAGTAGCAGTGCTAGAACTGACTATTGTGCGCGCACGCGAGACGCCGGCGCGCAATTACATGGGAATTTTTCCTCAGCAGTGGAAACAGGAATACTCTTATTTATGGTCATAGATAAGACAAGAGTGCATCATCCGAAACGGTAAAGTGTCCATTTTTTTATTTGTGTATAGGCTACATTATAAATGACTACAAAATGTCATGCCTTTTAAACATACAGAAAACAACCGGATGCGGGTTCATGCCGTCTCTCTGTCTCCTTTCTGGCGCACGTCCCGCAAAATCAACAGCAGCGAATAGTCTACTTGACGCACAGACATAGCTATCTATAGAAAACGTTTAAGTGTCTACTTTGTATTGTTTTATGTTAAATGCTTTATATAAGTTACTTAGGAATAAACAGCATGTTTTCAGATGATAAAGAAAACATGACTCATAGCATGGAAAAAAACGTTAGGTTGTAAATTATTTCGCGGACCCCCTGGCTTTAGCTCGCGGACCACCAGGGGTCCGCGGACCCCACTTTGAGAACCACTGGCTTAGAGGTCTGAACATGTTTAGAGGGGAGATATTTGCATACCCTCTGTTTCTGCAAAAGGAACTGGCCACAAAAACAAACTGCAAGTTCTTCTGCACTGACATAATGTGTCGGTATTGGCCCTATCTGCAAAAAGTGGCTCTAGCATTCCCAGAAATGCAAAACTTGACTGAGATGAAGCCATTTCTCTCAGTTATGCATGCAAAGGGGCACTCTACAAAATGTGAGCTAAATGTATATTCTTAAACAGTATGGTAAGTTCTTTACCATTTTGAGGTCCTTGAGCTTGATATTTTTATTTTTGATAAAATAATCTGGTGCGTATGCTGTAGGTGCAGTGGGGTGGCAAAAACCAAACAGGGGCAGGCACAACGATTGGTGAAGAAGTCGAACAAGTCAACAGCTTTTTGTCCCGTGTGGCTCTAACTACAAAATACATGAGTAAGGCTGGTAAGTGGTCCTTTTTTTACATTTCTCATGTGTTGTGGTCTGGTAGCATTATAATTGATAAAACAGCTTGCTTTTTGATTGTTTTCTTTCATTCATCTTACTTGGTGACTAACCACTAGTTGAAAAGCACATTTAATAATTTTGTCATTACAGCACGAGTAGATATGATCACATTGCATGCCAGAGGATGGAATGAGCGAAAAAAAAGAAACCTGCACAAGTACTTGTCTACACGGTACTTGAAGGTAAGTAAAAATAAAGATCTCTCAAGGTTAAATTTTAACTGACTTAAGTCCACTGATAACTTTGTAAATACTAATTATCTAAAACATTCAGTATTGCAGAATGTTTGTGTGACTTTCCATTAATTATATTTTTGAGACTGTCCAAAATGTCTCTTTTCTCCCATTTTTTTTTTTTTTTTACTCTGCCTTTGTGTTCCAGACTTCATGTGATGAGAATATCAGCGATGCCGATAGAATATATCGGGAATGCCAGCAGAGCGGACCACTTTGTTTTTTTGACTGTGTCCCTCCAGCTGGCATGAACCATTGTTTAAAAATCGGCGAGGGGACATGTGCAGAGGTCTTCTCGATTTCAAATGGTTCTAATGAGGCCATCGCTCTCAAAGTATGTGCTCAATTTATCCATATACAATTTCATTGTAGAAGCGTACTATTTACTGTCTTACAGGGCACAGGGTGACTTAATGCACCTAACACATACATAAGTTCAAAATGTATTTTAAATATTATATCTATTTATGTAAATAGATGTTTAGTCACTGATTTTTAAGCAGAATTATTTCTTAAACATACAAAAATGACTGAAGTGATGTTTAAGTGTAATTTCCATAGATCATCCCTGTAGAAGGAAGTCATCGAGTCAACGGTCAACATCAGAAAACGTTTCGTGAAATCCTCCATGAAATCATCATTTCTAAGTAGGATCTCTGGCATATCTCAACAAATATGTTATGCATTTGAATGAGTGGTGTGTAAATATTCAACACATCTTCAATGTTCCTACAGGCAGATAAATAGCCTTAGAATTAACGAGACGAACAAGACCGATGGCTTCATTGGGCTCAACAAGTATGCTTCTACTCTTTTTATTTTTATTTTATTTTTTATAGCTTATATAAGTGAAAAAATGAGGTAATTGGAAGTTTGCATGTTATATTTCTAAGAATCCACGCATAAGAAGGACATTTTGTTTAGAAAGAAATAGTTTTTCTATAATTTTACCTTGGGTAAACGATTAATTTACTTTTTAGTGTACATTGTGTCCGTGGACGTTATCCGGACGCTATGGTCAAAGCCTGGGACAGGTTCTACCGTCGGCAGGGATCAAAGAATGTCAGACCTGGTAAGCTAAATGTGTAAACAATGGACTACTTGCACAACTACTTCCGCGTTCTACTTATTACATACCGGGAGTTTCCGGTTAGAGTGTTCATCGCACGTCCATACATGAGAATGCAGATTATCACTACGTTTTATGGATGCCAATTGATTAAAACAATGAATAATGATCTCTGTATTAATTATCTCGAGCCTGCTGAAATGTTCCTATAAATATATTTTCTTTCCAACTATTCCATTCTGAATAATAAATAGGCTAAATATATATATCCACTAACCTGCAGCAGTCTTCTGTCTTCTCATTAACAACAGTATTTTTCTCTTAGCCTACTCATATTCTATACTTGAGTTTACATTTTTTTAATGAATTTGACTAATAAAAAGTACATTGGTGCTTATCCCTGTCTTTTTAAAATAGTTGAATGAATGAATGAATGATCGCGAGGTGCTTACGATCAGAACGCCCGCAGTTAGAGGAGAATGACAGTCAACTTCTCTGAATATTAATTAAGCATTTTGGGCATGAACATGTAATAGTAAAACGATTGACATTGAAAAATGACACTGAATGATTACAATATTTAATCCAAATAAATAAATGTTCGTGTTTCGTACTGATTTTATTCATCTGTTCTCACACATTTCAGCGTCGCCGTCACTAGTGTAGACGAACACTGGCACGCTGCAGTGAAATAATGGCGTATTTTTAACAGCCGCAGCTTTCTCGGATTGCCTTGGTTTGGATTTAAACTTCATGTTCCGATGAGTTTTGAAAATTCTGCACACGGTAAACATCAGAATATCCTAGTCATAGATGCAGAGGGCTGGACGGCCAATCATCCTCGTCCAGAGGACATCATGGCGAAGTGGAGGCCGCTCAGCAGAGCACAGGCGGAGAGTGACCCGGGCATCATCAAGGGGGTGACCAGGCAGAAATGGTCGGGTCTGGCTGTGAAGGCCTTTGGGGAGCAGAAAGGTATGTACAACTGTCTTATGAGCACAGTAAAATCCATAAATAAAATGGATTTTGCACCATTTGCATCAACCCTCCCTCCAGAATAAGCAGAAAAGAGCATGACCATATTTCAGCAGCTCCAGCTCGTCGAGTGAGTTGTTCACGCAGCTGTCAGGTCTTCTGTGTTTCGGCTTCCCACGGACGCTGTACTTCGTCAACAATGGATACAATTTATGTTTGATTATGTTCCTGAAAATGACGATGGTAATCTAGCTCTCTGTGCTGCTCATTAACGGAAGACAGCTTCCAGAATCTCCACGAGTTCAACACCGGATTCAACAAGAAACTGTTACTAAAACATGAAGCAGTTTCAACTTTAAAACCAGAGGCAGCAGTTGTTGGGCCACAACCTGTAAGTAGGCTAAGACTTCATTATTTTAAATGTATTTGCATGTATAATTCCAGATGTGATGTTTTAGTTTTGTCAAATGCCAGCGCTGGCTTTATATCCACTTAGTTATGCTATTTTGCGTCTACGACAAACGCGTACAAACATTTTCGACCTGAATTTGTATGTGTACTCATTTTATAAATGTATTTATCATGTATACTTAATCATCACTTTGTGATGTAAGAACAGGTTTGTTATGTGTGGGTGATGAAAGGAGACACAGGGTCGGCGAATACTGGGACTCGTGCACTTTTATTTACACAACTCTTCACAGTGCGAGGTCGCGCTCAAATAAAGTTAACTCAGAATGTCAAAGGCAAAAATAAATAATATAATACTATAATACACTAAAATAATATAATACACTAAACACAGCTTTGCCGAACACAGTTGCAGTGAAAACTCTTCCCGCTGAATACAGCTTTCAAATGTCCCGTGTTCGGTAACAGGACTCCATAGGATACGTGCACAAGCGGCCAGTCTCTCTCTCAAACTGTTGTCCGCACGGCCCGCTTATATGCGCTCTCCTCACGCCAATCACTCAAATCACAGACAGGTGTTTGTCATTTGAACTTGACCCACTTATTCACCGCTCGGCTCCGTCCGTCCCAGCTCTCTCACAGTCAAAGCCGGCCCGAGCCTTTTGGGGGCCCTAAGCAGAATTTGATTTGGGGGCCCCTCCCACGACGCGGAGTCACCTGTGTTTGACGATTATTGACACAAATGTCACGCAATAATGATACATTATAAATGAACACACTTCGGTTATGTATTAGGCTACAATAAAATTAACCCCTTAACTGGCACCCCCCTTTTTGGCAATGGAGTGCAAACTGACATACCCATAATAAAATGGTTGTTGCTAATGAGTCCTTGTGACCACACACAAAACCAAGGTATCATTTAAAAGCTGACACTTGACAGTTTATTATGAAAGACTTAAAATTGTTCTGAGCAATTACTAACAGAGAGATAAATAAGCTCAAAAACAATGGACGAGAATTTTTTTTTTGTATATTAATTTTTTATGAAAAAGAAAAACGCTAAAGGCAAATATATATGGGCCTGGAAACACAAGCAAACTAAAGCCATAGGTCTTAACAATGTATGTTTCAAATTTGAAGTTTATACAAGCAAAAATGAATTTTTTACAAAGATTTATTTCAGCGCATGTCTAGGCACCTACCCAAAAAGGCCACTTGGAGTCTCCAAAGGGACACTTGGTAACCACCTTTTACCATGAGCTATAACAAGTTTGTTTGATCATTTCAATGTGTTTTCTTATTACAATATGACAAAGCACAATATATATACTTTCTCTGGTATATTTTTTACCTCCTAAATGTTTATAAAAATGTGTGTGTTTGCATTTTTGGAAAGGGCCCCAAAAGGACCCCAAAGTGACACTTGGCAACTTACTTGTAAAAAGTTTAACAAAGTCTTTGTTCACTACCATTCATTTAATGGTTAAGAACGACACATTATTTAGCAAATAAAAAGTTTTTATTTATATATTTGTATACATCTACAAACAAAAGTTTCTCTTTGTTATTAGCAATCAAGACAGTAATAAACATTTCTCAAAAAGTGAGCAGAAAAAGTTGATGTGCACAGGACTGTGACACTCACAAGATCGACGAGGAGGAGGGTCAGGCACCTTGCTTTTGTTGGGATGTCCAGCCAGCTCCAAAATCAGTCTCCCAGAATGCCTTTTGAGACATTGGCTTCTGGTTTTTAGCCTTTGTCAAATCCTGTTGCAGAATATTGGTGCTGAAGTGCCATCACTGTTGACCAACAAACAGGAAAAGAAATTTAGATTTCTTAACATTTTTATAAATACACATTTATTTTCAAAATCAAATGACCATTCACATACAGCAATCTACCTCTACACCCACTATTGTTGCCCTGATTGCTATATTTGCACTACCGGCTTTGAATATAAAATCTGTGAGGATCATTCACATACAGCAATTCACCTCCATAGCAACTCTATTGTTGCACTGATGGCACATTTACACTACAGATTTTATATTCAAATTATCATTCACATACAGCTACTCACCTCTATAGCCACTCTTTTGTTGCCCTGATTGCACATTTACACCAGCTTATAGTGCAGACTGTAATCAGACAATAATGCCCTAAAATGCTATTTTTTCCTCACTAAACATTACTTGCTTCACATTATTTACTTACCACAAAGTGCTGGGCTGTCTCTTTCCTCTTGAACTCCCAGAGACAGCTGTAGATGTTGCAGCAACACATGGACACTTTGTTTGTCTGTTGTCCAGAGAGGCCTCTGTCTGGTACTCTCATCATCATCGTCACTGTTGAATTACACAACATGGATTAGAAACACGCCTAACACAACTGATTATCTTACATATAAATTACATTTTGTTCTCTGAAAAGTTTTGTTTGAACTTCGTCTTGCGTTCTACATACAAAACAATAGCATATAGCTAAAGTTACATAAATAATGTTCAATGTTGTAACGTTACACTTCTAATTCAGCGCTTGAATAACAATGGAATTGCACTGCATTTCAATGTACTTATAAGCCCCAATACTAGTGCAGAAAATCAAAACTAAAAAGCAATGTAACAAACTAAAATGTTTAGAAACTTACCGATCTAAAACTGGATCGAGACCTGCCAAAAACATATCCTCTTCTTCAGAGACGCTGGATACAGAACTCTCTTCTGAAAAATACACGTTTTCTTCATCCCAGCTTCGCAGAAATTATTCCAATGCAGCAGTAGGAGAAGTAACTTCTGTCCCAGACGTAAACCCAACCCATTCCAGCAGGCGAATGCAAACACAGCGAGCAGGTGTAGCCTAGCTGCAGCATATCGCATAGCAGAGCCTCTGATCGCCATGGCAACCTCTGTGTCACGCGCAGCACGTGTGCGTAAATTTCCATGATGCAAATGGTTGCGCGCACAAAGGAACACTGTTATAAACGCGAGATTATGTAAATCCGCACATGGGCGTATTCGTTATGCCATAGGCTTCACATGGGTGACAACAGAAAAGTTCCCTATCGTAGTCACTTCGAGTTACGTCAGAAGTGACGGAGATTGGGGGTTTCGCATAGAAAGCCAATCCTCTTCGAGTATTAAAACACGAGCCAATGGCATGCAATGCCTTGGGGCTGCGGAAATTTGCATAGCGTACTCCGCCCTACTCCGTGAGTATAAAGGAGGAAGTGAACGCAACCGCAGTATGTTTTCGCTTCGGAGCCAAGAGAACCTCTTCACTCCTGAAAGCACTGTTCAAGACTCTTCGAGACGAGCGTCCTCTTCAGTGTTGGTGTGACGGCGGTACCCAGCGAGATTCTGCATCGCCTGCGATCTGAGCAGTGGTCTGCCAGACTTTGCGCTTCTCCCTGGTCGCTTCAGCGCTGAAAGAGTGAATTTCCTCCTCTCATTGAAAGAGCTGCACGCGCACGTCTTTTTAAAGACGGTTCGCCCGTGCTCTTCTGGGTGTGATTGATTTCTGTCGTCATCTGATGGTCACGATCGCTGCTTTGTATGCCTGGGCATTTCAGCATGCAGCAGCAGCGTTCGTGGATGACTCATTTTCCTTCTGTGGGAACATGACCATCTCTACACTGAGGTCGAGACTCAATGATCTCACTTGAGTGAGAGTCCCGGTCCCCCCGCTCGATCGGTTTCCTCCATAGGGGGCCCGTCGACCCGGGGACCTGGTGATTTACGGTGATGGTGTGGGATAAGCCCCGACGATTCCTCGGGCCACACCTCCCGCCTCAGTGCGAGAGCCAGCGAGCGTTAGTTCGATTCAGTCGGTTGCTTCTTTGGTGGCACCGGCTGCTTCGGGCAGCGCTCCAGATGATGATGCGATGTCGATCACAGCATCACTAGGCGGGCTTGACTCCTCGGGAAGTGAGGATGCGGCCGCGTTGCCTCCCTCGGGAGCGTCAGCGCCGCCGTGTCTGATCCCGCGATGATGGCCGTGCTATCTCGGGCGTCCGTGAGCATCGGGTGGGGGTGGAACTCCGCCCCTCCCCGATCTCTCGCGGCTGAATAATTGGTTTTTGGGTAACGCTGCCGCCTTACGGCCACGGCCAACCCCAATTTCCTTTTTTCCCCGAGTTGCATGCGGAACTGACACGCACTAAAAAATAATAAATAAAAAATAAAAAAAAAAAAAAAAAAAAAAAAGCGTGCTTAGTTCCCCGCCCTTCCTCCCCTCGGCGATGCGGCTGTCTGTGGGTACGCTGGGGCTCCCCCGGTCAACCGGCGGTTGCTCTCAGATGCCCTCCAAAGCCTATGGGTTCTCGTCGTCTATGGCGGCGCGATTCTGTAGAGCGGCGGGACAGGCAGCCTCCGCCCTGCATATGATGAGCACCTACAAAGCTAGCTGCTCAGGAATGTGCACGAGGAGGTGACGGACCAAGCGAGCTGCGAGCCTGTCGCCTACCTTGTCCTTAAACGGGTCACGGAGGCGGTCGCTCGCTCCCTTGGTCAGGTGATGCCACCGCTGTGGTCCAGGAGCATCATAATGTTCGGCGGTGCGGTCCAGGACTTTGCCCAGCACTTCTCGACCGCTAGGAGCAGACGAAGGCGGTTTCTCTGCCCCGACGGCCAGCTGCTGCCTCCAACCAGCCGTCGGCTCGGACGCCTCCGCCAGCTCGCCGCCGAGGACGCCCCCCTGCGGCTCCCTTCCCTCCCACGCGCCCCAGCAGCAGCCTTCAGCCGGTTCGCGTCGCGGAGGAGGCCATAGGTAAGCGTCCCAAGAAAAGAGCCCCCCCTCAGGCCGCGTGCCCCGCTAGATGCCAGGCGAAGCGATGTTCCTGAGGCGGGCCGCTCAGTGATAGTGTCATGGTTTTTCTCAGGAGGCGGTGGCAGGGCCCCTCCTTCCCCGGTGGAGGGCCGGTGGAGAATCTTTTGTTCTAGCTAGCTCCCTGAGCTGGTTGAGGAAAAGCTGACACTGTCATTGAGCACACAGACTGGAATGAGCGCGCACGACGTCCAGTGCGTCGCCCCGTTCATTCCTCTCTGTCTCGGAGGGCGCGGAAGGGTGCGTGTGTCGTCCCCGGCTACGCCAATCCCTTCCCCCTCTGTCGCCAGACCCCGGCAGAACAGACCCCCGTGGAACGCTCTGCCTTCCCTGGTCTCTTCTGTCGGGGAGCGGGTTTCGACGGTGCATCCGGACGGGGTAACTCCTGCACGCATGCCGGTCGACCCGCCTCGCTGCCCCTCCGGGGGGACGTCTGTGGTTCGCATGACCCCGTTGGCTCACTTCCTGGAAGCCTGGCTAGCGCTTCCCGGGGGTTCCCGCTGGGTCATCAGAACGATCGGATTCGGCTACGCGATTCAGTTCGCACGGTCTCTTCCCCGCTTCAGGGGAGTTCGCTCCACGATGGTTGGTGGCAATGCCCCAGTCTTGAGAGCGGAGATTGCGACCCTGCTGGCGAAGGGTGCAATCGAGACGGTCCCTCCAGCCGAGGTGAGGTCCGGGCTTTACAGCCCCTACTTCATTGTCCCCAAGAAAGACCGGTGGGTTACGACCGATCCTGGACCTGCGCATTTTGAACCGTTCTCTCCATCGACTACCGTTCAAAATGCTCACGGCCAACGCATTTTCGAATGTGTTCGGTATCAGGATTGGTTTGCAGCGATCGACCTGAAGGACGCGTACTTCCATGGCTCCATTCTCCCTCGACACAGACCGTTTCTTCGGTTTGCCTTCGAGGGCCAGGCATACCAGTACGCCGTTCTCCCATTCGGGTTAGCTCTGTCCCCTCGCGTCTTCACGAAGATCGTCGAGGCAGCCCTTGTTCCCCTTCGCGAACACGGGGTTCGCATCCTGAACTATCTCGACGACTGGCTGTTACTAGCACACTCTCGAGCTCAGGTTTGCGAACACAGAGACCTGGTGCTACGGCACCTAGCCCGTCTGGGCCTTCGGGTCAACCGGGAAAAGAGCAAACTTTGCCCCGTGCAGAGGATCTCTTTTCTCGGCATGGAGATAGACTCGGTCGCCATGTCCGCGCAGCTCACGAACGAGCGCGCGCACTCACTGCTGGCTTGTCTTCGACAGTTTCGAGGGCAAGAGTGCGGTTCCACTGAAACTATTTCAGAGGCTCCTGGGGCATATGGCATCCGCGGCCGCGGCAACGCCGCTCGGTTTGCTTCATATGAGACCGCTTCAGCTGTGGCTTCGCGATCGAGTCCCGAGGTGGGCATGGCATCGCGGCTCGCTCCGAGTTCCAGTGACTCCGACGTGCCGCCGATCCTTCTTCCCGTGGTCGAACCTCAGCTTTTTACGGACAGGGTCCCTATTCAGCGAGTTTCCAGGCATCTCGTTGTCTCCACGGATGCGTCTACCACGGGTGGGGTGCCATGTGCAATGGGCATGCAGCCGCCGGTTCCTGGACAGGAGCCCAGCGCCTCATGCACATCAATTGCCTCGAGCTGTTGGCAGTACGGCTCGCCCGGCACCGCTTCCGAGCGTGCTCTAGGGCCAGCATGTGCTTGTCCGCTCAGACAACACTACGGCAGTAGCGTACATCAACCACCAGGGGGGGTCTACGCTCGCGCCGGTTGTCGCAGCTCGCCCGCCACCTCTTGATATGGAGTCAGAAGCACCTGAGGTCCCTTCGTGCAGTTACATTCCTGGAGACCGGAACCGGGCAGCCGCGAGCTGTCCCGGGCCCGTCCCATCTCCGGCGAATGGCGACTCCATCCCCAGTCGGTCCAGCTGATTTGGGACCAGTTCGGGGAGGCACAGTTAGACCTGTTCGCCTCTCGGGACTCGTCCCACTGCGCCCAGTTATTCTCTGACCCGCGGCTCTCTCGGCTCGGATGCGCTGGCGCACAGCTGGCCACGGGCCCACGCAAGTGTGCGTTCCCCCAGTGAGCCTCCTTGCACGGGTGTTGTGCAAGATCAAGGAGGACGAGGAGCAGGTCTTGCTGGTAGCCCCTACTGGCCCACCAAGACGTGGTTCTCCGAACTCTTGCTCCTCGCGACAGCACCTCCTTGGCCTATTCCTCTGAGACCGGACCTACTCTCTCAGAGACGGGGCACTCTGTGGCACCCTCGTCCCGATCTTGGAGGCTGCACGTGTGGCTCCAGGACGGGACGAGGCAGGTTGAGTTCGCTGCCACCTGCGGTGGCGGCAACCATCACTTCCGCAAGAGCGTCGTCCACGTGACACCTTTATGCGTTGAAGTGAAACCTCTTCGTCAATTGGTGTTCTTCTCGCTGAGAAGACCCCCGGAGATGTTCGATCGGAGTCATGCTTCCTTCCTGCAAGAGGGGTTGGAGCGCAGGCTGTCGCCCTCCACCCTTTGGATTATGTCGCGGCCATTGCCGCGTCTCCATGATGCAGTGAAAGGTAAGTCTATGGAAGCATGACCTGGTCATCAGGTTCCTGAGGGGAGTGAGGGGCTAAATCCGCCTCCCTCCCCTCCTGCCCTCTGGGGACCTCTCAGTAGACCTGGGTGCTCTGCAGAGGCCTCCCCTGGAGCCTTTGCAGTCGGTAGAGTTTTTTTGCCCTGTCCTATGTGA